CTGTGGGGTCAAGAAGGAGAGCAGCATATACAGATTGGACCCTGTATTGGATGACGAACTCATCAGAGTAGGAGGAAGACTCAGAAAGGCAGCCATGCCTATCGAAGCCAAACATCCCATCATTTTGTCCAAAAATCACCATGTGTCAAATCTTCTACTTCGTCACATTCATGACCAATTGGGTCATTGTGGTAGGAATCATATGTTGTCCAAACTCAGACAAACATATTGGATTATAAACGCTAATGCTGCTGCAAGAAAAGTCATTTCCAAATGTATTGTATGTAGACGTTACAAAGGAAAGACGGGCGAACAAAAGATGTCTGACCTACCTCTTGAACGAATTACACCTGATCTTCCACCTTTCACAAATACTGGTGTGGATTACTTCGGTCCTATCGAAGTTAGAAGAGGACGTAGTACAGTAAAACGATACGGAGTGATATTTACTTGTATGGCAAGTAGAGCGGTGCACTTGGAAGTAGCCTATTCTTTGGACACAGATGGATGTATAAATGCTCTACGAAGATTTATTTCTCGTAGAGGTCAAGTAGTACACATCAGGTCAGATAATGGGACAAACTTCATTGGTGCCAACAGAGAGTTAAAAGAGGCCATTTCTGCATGGAACGACAAGCAAATTGAAAAGGAGTTACTTCAAGTAGGGGTTCAGTGGAGCTTCAATCCACCGGCTGGTTCCCATTATGGAGGTGCATGGGAGCGCATTATTCGGATGGTGAGAAACATTCTTTGCTCTGTACTTCGCCAACAAACACTGGATGACGAATCCTTTCATACCATTCTGTGTGAAGTAGAATCAATCCTAAATGATCGTCCCATTACCAAGGTATCCAGTGATCCCAATGACCTTGAAGCTCTTACTCCAAATCATCTGCTTCTCATGAAAGGCAAGCCTGCTTTACCACCAGGTCTTTTTGAAAGAACAGATCTCTATGTGAAAAGAAGATGGAAACAAGTGCAGTACCTAGCTGATCTTTTCTGGAAAAGATGGATACGGGAGTATCTTCCTCTACTCCAAAAACGTCAAAAATGGACAAAGGAACGTCGAAGTTTTAGTACAGGGGACATTGTACTTTTACTGGATCCTACTGCGCCTCGTGGCTCATGGCCACTTGGTCGAGTATTAGAAACCTTTTCAGATGATAAGGGCCTGGTACGAACTGTAAAGGTTAAAACCAAGAGTAGTATTTTAGAACGACCAGTAAGAAAGCTTTGTCTGTTGCTGGAGGTAAATGACTAATGTGGACTGTTACAGTCTGAGTCATGTGGTGCTTCAATATTTGTTATGGCTCCTTTACGTAATATTTGTAATTGTTATGTTAATTACCATAATCAATTAAGGGGCCGGTGTGTAGGAGCCATTTTTTGTGTTGTTGTGATTTATGTTGTCCACTAGGTGTCACTAACTGAAAACTATAACTGAGGTGCCTGTGTAAGCGAGGAAGAGCGTCAGGTATGGGAAAGCACACGGTTTTTGACCGTGCCACAGAGTAATTTGTTTGCTAGCCAGAAAACAGCAGTGTTTAGATATGTGCTGTGTATACATGGAGTGAATGTTATATTGACATGATAAAGAAGAAAGGAGAAGCAAAGATTGAGGCTTTGTTTAATTCACCTGCACAAATAAAGACATTCTGCTTAAAAACAACTTTAGCATGCATGGACTCTGATTGCACGCGTGAAATACGTGCTCACCCCCATTTCTGGCGATAACAGCAATGGAAGGCTGTTACAGAAATGATATACTGTTCAGCCCTATTATCATCACTTCTATCCCCTGATGGTTATTTTAATAACAAAAATAGGATATTCTTCCAAATTCATTTTAATTGCCACTTCATCTGGTACACTTAAATAATATTTTTTTCTGCTTGTTTAAACTACTTGTTTAAAATGAGCTGAAACAACGCAATATTTCAGATTTTTGGGTAGACAACTTGGTTGTTTTACCTTCAGTCCACTTAAATCTGATAACTTAATCAATTTGTGTTGGGACAACGTGAATCAATTGTGTGGAACCCTGCATGTTTTATAAGCACATTGATGAAAAAAAACAGAAGATTAAATATTAAACCTGTGTCAAAGATGAAACGTTTAGCCAAATATGAACATTTACTCACCCAGTGGTTCCAAACCTTTTGTTGTCAACACAAACTAATATAATTTGAAGAAAGCTGCAATGAAATCTGTAACTATTGACTTCAATAGACAACATTTTTCTAAATATAGCCCTAAAAATACATTAATTACAGCACTTTCATTTTTGGGAACAACCTCTTTTAATTAAAGGATTTTCAATCTTTTGTGCACTATGGTATTTAGGATAGCCTATAAATTATTGTGGTTATTATGAGTTATCATGGTTTCATCATTGTTTTTAAAATAGCAGACATTCTACTAGACACATTACCTGTCCCTGAAATAAAAACATATAAGTATTTAATTCATTCATTTTCTTGTCGGCTTTGTCCCTTTATTAATCTAGGGTCGCCACAGCGGAATGAACCGCCAACTTATCCAGCAAGTTTTTACACAGCAGATGCCCTTGCAGCCGCAACCCATCTCTGGGAAACATCCACACACACACTCATACACTACGGAAAATTTTGCCTATGCAATTCACCTGCACTGCATGTCTTTGGACAGTGGGGGAAACCAGAGCACCCGGAGGAAACCCACACGAAGGCAGGGAGAACATGCAAACTCCACACAGAAACACCAACTGAGCCGAGGTTTGAACCAGCAACCCAGTGACGTTCTTGCTGTGAGGCGACAGCACTACCTACTGCACCACCTTGCCCATGTAAGTATTTCATCCCAAAAATGGCTAAAATGGCCTGATGGTTGATTTCTGTGAGTTGTTCTGTAAATGAATATGTCATTCATTTGGATCTCAGATTTGTTTTCTTTATTAAAAACACTTTACAAATGTACAAACCCGGTCATTGTCCTTGTCCTCAGCCCAATTGAGCCAATACAGCTTTAATAGTTTTGATATGCTAAAAACTGTTATTTATAAAAAATACTTCAGAAATAGCAAGTTGAAGTTGTTATCATTCACATCAATGGGTTAAAAACATGAAATTATAAATTAATTCCACAAATAAATACTACAAATATATAAGACAACGACATTTACAATTGTCCCCATGATTCAGCCCATTATTTGCACTGAATTTAATATACAATGCGTGCAATACATGTGTAAGGCTATGACAAGGAACTTTTTAAGCTTGCTTTTGTAGGATTTTTTGAGGAAGACAACATTACGTCAGGCCCTGCCATATTTTTTATAGGTGAAAATGTACGTGTCTAGTAGAATATCCCATATATAATGTTTTATGTGAGTGGTACATAGATATTTTTGTAACTCGAATGTTTGAGTTGTAACTGCATATGCAAACATTTTTTAACAATAATCTAATATAAGCTATTAACCACGTGGTGGCGCCATTGTCTAGTTTGACTTTGCAAACTAATAACGCGTTCAGCGTCTACAGGATTTTAGAAAAGAAAAAATAAACTTAATATAGGCCTACTTAATACATTTTTATATGATTTTAGTTCACAAATAATGACGGATAATATCAATAATCACTTCATTAATCTCAACCTCTTTTGTTTAGTATGTAAGCTAACGTACATATAAAACAGCATGATCACCTGTTGCGTTGTACTTGAAGCCTTTATGACGATGTAATTCGTAATATCTGTATTATGACAGCATGCTATTTTGACCTCGTTGTAACTTAGCGATATCATAATAAACAACAAACATATAACAATTTATTTTGACTGTATAGGTTCTGCCCCTCATATGCTGAAATACGCACAGCCAATAGGAAAAACCTACTTATCATGTACTCAGGCGTCAGTTATTATAGCTTCCTACTGTAAATGATAGCCAGTATGGTGTGTTGTGAAAGAGAAGGCAGTGTGTGATTGCGGATCAGACAAACACACGCGCGCGCGCCACCAGCTACTATCAACACGCGCGCGCGTTTCAGCTGCCTTCACTTCTGACTGAGTGACTGTCACGCGGAATCGCTGCTTACCTGTGCCTTTACCTTTATACGGACATAAAATGAAAGGTAAGTGTCTATTACACACTTTAAGTAGTTATTATTAAGTAGTAAGCGTGTATTGTGTGAGCAAAGTGTTTGTTGAGTCGCTAATGTTGTATATAGGATCGTTCTGTTCTGTTGTGAGTGACAGGTTGTTTCGCTTCAGCTTCACCTGCTGTCCAGATTACTGTGTATTACACTGTCATTATAAAAGCATTCTGTGTACAAATATTACGAATCTTCAACATATCGGACTCAGTAGGTCTGGGTTATTTATCGATCAGGGTAGTACAACTGGTGGGGCAAACCATGTGGTTGAAAACTTTCTGAAATGACCTTTCTGCGGTGTTTGTATTGATTTCATTTAATTTGAAAAAAGCTTAAATTGGTTAAGAGATCTTCATGTACAGTAGAAGAGGAAGATGTTTCTCCTTTTGCTATATGGTAGTCAAACGTCTGTGTGACCTGTTTTTACAGTATATGTCATTCTTTTTATTGTTGTTTAATAATTAGATGAATTGTTATTAAGGGTGTAGTTACACACACTCTTAAAATACTTTTAGTTATTAAACACAGAAACACCAGAGGCACAAGTCTGACAGATAGAGATGAAGTGCAGACATCCCACACGTATTCACACACTTAAGCTCACTTAAAAAAATCTGTTAATATATTAGCATCACAACAAAATATCCAACACTGTAGAGAGCTTTCACAGAAAAACAACTATGTTTGTTAATTTTACAAACATTCAAAGTATATATAGGCTTTCTTGCTTGGATCTCTTCAGGAGTCATGAAGTGACATGAAGTTTTAGCTACAGTATATAGAGTTATTTATCTGTAGTTGTTATTGTCTCTAATTTAATGTAAACACAATTACACATTTTAAGTGTGATTTTTAAGGGTTCAAACTTTTGGGGCCACCCTATAAAAGTATTCAATTACGATAGAAAGTAGGTACTTTTTGCACCACTTTGTGGAAATGTCTGTCTGTCTGTCTGTCTATATCTTCTAAATAAAAGACGAGTGAAGGATGACAGCATTTTATTTTTTTTGGGTCAACTATTGGTTGTTCTTGTTGAATCACTTCAGAAGCCAGTTGGTTTTTAAAAATAAAACATGACGTTGAAGCGTTACTTTTTTGCAGATGTTATCGTCTCTAATGTAAATACAATTAGACATTTCAAGTGTGATTTTAAGGGTTCAAACTTTTGGGGTCACTGTATCAAAGTATTGAATTATGATAGAAAGTAGTTTCATTTTACATATCTTTGTGGAAATGTCATGTTCATTTCCAGTTTTATTTATATTAATAATAATAGCTCTTTCTATCTATCTATCTATCTATCTATCTATCTATCTATCTATCTATCTATCTATCCATCCATCCATCCATCCATCCATCCATCCATCCATCCATCCATCCATCCATCCATCCATCCATCCATCCATCCATCCATCCATCCATCCATCCATCCATCCATCCATCCATCCATCCATCCATCCATCCATCCATCCATCCATCCATCCATCCATCCATCCATCCATCCATCCATCCATCCATCCATCCATCCATCCATCCATCCATCCATCCATCCATCCATCCATCCATCCATCCATCCATCCATCCATCCATCCATCCATCCATCCATCCCAGCTCTTATGTCACCTTCTAAGTCTCATCTTAAAGTGATAGTTCACCCAAAATGAAATTTACTCACTGTATTTACTGACTGTTGCAAACCTTTATGACTCCTTTTATCCTGTTGAAAATGAAAAGGAAAGTTGGAAAGGAAATCTGAAAACTGTAACCATTGACTTCTATAGTAGATAAAAAACAAATACTATGGACATCTACTACAGGTTTCCAGCATTTTTTTAAAATATCTTCATTTCTGTTCAACAGAAGTAAAAGGCGAGTAAAGGATGACAGTGTTGTATTTTTTGATTGAACTAATGGTTGTTCTAGCTTGAATCACTTTGGTAGCCAGTTGGTTTTTATAAAACATGACGTTGTAGCTGAATCGTTACTTTTTTGCAGATGTTATTGTCTCTAATATAAATACAATTAGACATTTCAACTGTGATTTTAAGGGTTCAAACTTTTGGGGTCATTGTTAGAAAGTAGTTTTCCATATCTTTGTGGAAATTTCATAATATATATATATATATATATATATATATGTTAATTTTCACTTTTATTTATATTGATAATAATAGATCTATCTATCTATCTATCTATCTATCTATCTATCTATCTATCTATCTATCTATCTATCTATCTATCTATCTATCTATCTATCTATCTATCTATAGTAGATAAAAAACAAATACTATGGAAATCTATTACAGGTTTCCAGCATTTTTCAAACTATCTTCATTTCTGTTCAACAGAAGTTAGATAAAATAAAGGGTGTGTAAAGGATGACAGCATTTAATTTTTTGGGTGAACTATTGCTTCTTCTTACTTGAATCACTTCAGAAGCCAGTTAGTTTTTATGATAAAACATGAAGTTATAAAGCGTTACTTATCTGCAGATGTTATGGTATCTAATATAGATACAATAAGACATTTTAAGTTTGATTTAAGAGTTAGATAAAAAGTAGTTACTTTTTATATCAGACAAAAGATATCTGCTATATATTGAAGCATTTTGTTCATGTTCACTTTTATTTTTTAAATGTTTTACATAATATTTTTAACAGACATTTTAGTACCTTCTAAGTATCATCTTAAAGGGATAGTTCACCACAAACAAGATTGACTTACTATATTTACTCACCCTCAAATAATTACAAACCTTTGTGAGTCTGTTTAATCTGTTGAAATAAAAAAAGAACGTTGAAAAACAAATCTGAAGGAACTGTAACCACTGACTTCTATCGTAGGATAAACAATTACTATGGCAAATCAATAGTTACTGGTTTACAGCTTTCTTCAAAATGTCTTATTGTCTGTTCAACAGAAAAAAGAAAGTCAAACGGGTTTGGAACAAATAAAGAGCGAGTAAAGGATGACAGAATTGTCATTTTTGGGTGAACTACCCATTTAACTTTTGATTTAAACTTTTGACTCAAAATGCAACTGCTGTCCGGTTTGGGAGAGGGAGGGAAGAGAGAGAGAAAAGAGATGAATGATTGGTTGTTCTCAGTGTGAGAAAGATAATACTGCCTTTAATGTTTCTAGTGTGGCTTGTTCAGTAACCTGTACTTGAACTTGAGCGCAGTTTAGTCAATTTTACACCATTTGATTTTTACAGTTTTAGTTTTTGTTTGGAACTCAAATGATAATCCAGACAGTGAGTTTTGGAGAACTGGAAATTCACCCTTTGTTTATACTAGCGATGGCCAAACTAGGGTCAGCGGGCCAAAGTTGGCCTTTTGTATACTTTGATTTTGCCCGCCAGAGGGAAAATGATTGGGGTTGGGCAATGCCTTTAACATAGATTTTCACTTCTATAATAATGTAACCTTTTTTTGTACATTTTTTTAAAATCTGTTTTATTTACAACATTTAATTGAAACATTTAATTTTATTTTTGTTTGTTTTTGTAGCTCAACAATAAAACAAACAAACAAAAATAAAATTAAATCTTTCAATTAAATGTTGTAAATAAAACAGATAAAAAAATGTACATAGTGTCACTTAACAAATTGGGGACAAGACAAAACATCAGCATGCAAATCATGTTAAAGTTCGTTTAAATAATATACATTAAAAAAAATAATAATGTTGTTTTATTTTTAAATATGATTAAAGAAATTATCAAATTACCCATGGCAACTAATGTAATACAGTTGGCTATATTTATTTTCGGCCCACAGCTCTTCATAAGAAAAAGTTTGGGCACCCCTGGTTTAGACTATTAGACACATTTTCACCTTTTGGACTTTAAATACAGCATTGTTTGCGTTTAACCTGAAGCATGTTTGCGTTTAACCTGAAGTTTGCTTTTTGGAGATATCAATATTTGGCTTGATTGACATTCTAATCCATATAGTCGTCTCAGTATTAAAAGAACCATTGACTCAGCTTATATTTGTAATAATAGATCTGTAAAGTGTAATAGTTTATAATGCATTCTCAATATATTAAAGGTCAGTTATGTGTTTTAGTCAATATGTGTATTTAGACCTGCCTGGGCGTTATTATTACGAAAATCTCATAACACAATATATAGGTCATCTAATACCCTTATACCAACACCTATCATAATATATGACGTTTATTGGGGTTGGGAGTGCTAAGTAGAAATATAGACCTAAAATAGGCCTAGCAACACCCATGGTAATATCTAAAGTGAAGACAATACAGGTTATTTTGCTCACATTTTAAGATTACAAGGCTGAACAGCATGAAAAGCCATCAGATTAGAGACATTTCCCAGTATTTCTCTGTTGCAATCGAGGGATCACAATAATTAACCCTGAAAAAACACTACCAGACTACCAGAAACACTACCAGACTACCAGAAACACTACCAGACTATGGTTTAAAAACAGCACTACAACACACAAAAGAGAGAGATCAACTTAGAAAGTCACTTACCTGTTTTGATCAGCTGTAGTTGCAAATTATGCTTAGTTTTTCTAAGTTATTTTGCTCTGCTTAGTTTGACAGGCTGATGGATGCCGACTCATTGAATCTTCGAACTTATAAATATATTAAATAGGCTCTATTCTTATAAATGAACTGCATAGTTGCAATCTAAACAACTACACACTCGACTAAAAAAGCCTCAAAAGTAGATTATGTTGTCCAACAGCTGCAATATTTGTCAAACTGTAGTGAGTTTATTGATCTGCTGTCACTCTATGGACGGAGAAACAGAAGGGTGAGGAGGCTGTACGAGTTTTGATAGTGCAGAATATTGCACGGCTATCAGCCAATCCGATTCGAGAACCAGACAGAACTGTTGTATAAATATATATATATTGACCACATGGAGACTTGAATTTTAAAGAATGTAATTAAAACATTCAGTTGGCGCAGTAGCCTAGGAGTTAGCGCTCCAGCATATGATG